TTCCTTTTTTTCTTTTTTACCCCTTGTGATTCCATGGTTGCGCTGATGCTACATTAAGCAAAGCAACCCTAGTTCCTGTGTAAGTCCGCAGAAACTTTATAGCAAGGACAAACTGAAATGAAGTAGCGGCATCTCTATGTTGCAACGAAAGGAGATTTAAAAAAAGAGAAAGAGAAAGAGAAAGAGAGAAGGGGAAGGGAAGGAAGGGAGCTTTCCAGTCTGTGGGCAGGGGGTGGGAATCAAGGGGAGCATGTGCCACCCAGCCCAGGCAGAAACCAAAAGGATGCTCATTGAGAGATATAACATGCAACATGAGCTTCTAGAATTAAGGATGATTCACTGACTTAATGGCCCATTGTTGGAACCACTGTAAGATTACCAGTAGCCCACCAGCAGAGAATATAGCCTGGTAGCTCAGGATGACACAGCTGCACAGGACAGTGACCAGCTGCTGGAAGGGAGGGAGCATGCCAGGCCCTGCAGCCAATCGGAATTGGGCTGTTGCTGCTAGAACAGAATGAAGCACAGGAGGCCATCTCCTGTAATATGAAGGCTCAGGTTGAAAAACAGCCATTGTGAATCAAAGCTGGAAAATACAGATCCAGGGTGCATTTGCAATGGGCTGAGAGTGGGAAAAGGATCTTATCACCCATTTGTGCCCTCTGGAAGCAGTGAGTAGCCTGTACTGATGATGGGCCAAAAGGGTGGATCTGCCCATGGAAAGGAGAACTCTGTAAACAGAGGAAACTTTTAAACAGAGAACTACCTCTGGCTGTCTTTGTGTGTGAAAGAAATTCCCAGGTTGCAGAGCCCACTCAGCAACAACAAAAGTTTGATGGGGTGCAAAGATTTGGCAAAGATCAGGAACAGGTTCTGGAGGTGGAGTCATGGCAACTGGACTTCTTTTCCTTTTGGTCAGAGACATTTTGCTACTTGTCCAAGCAGCCTCTTCAGTTTTGGACAAGTAGCGAAACATCTCTAACCAAAAAGAAAAGAAATCCAGTTGCCATGACTCAACCTCCAGACAAGTCCACCTGGATGACTGAGAATCTTCATAAACATATCAGGCACAGGGCAGCAAGGATTTTGCAGTATGCGTTATATATAAATATTTTGTGACTGAAAGCTGAGGGGGGCAGGCAAGGGAAATAGTGAAATAGTGGGAAATCTTTCCTGAAAATCTACTATCTCTTGGAATCATCCCTACAGAGTCTACCCCAAATTCTATTTTGGGAGTGGAGCAAGCACTGAAACCCACACAGGGAAGCCAGACATATGTTTTTTGTTTTTTGCAACAAACCAGCAACTCTACAGGCCAGTCGATCTCAGGGGTAGGTGGGTGAGAAGTACAAAGGATGGCTGCAGACAAGTTGCAAGGAAGCCAGAAAAGAAGGAAGGAGAGGGAAGAATTATGACAGATACAGTGGCCAGCTGGGAAGGACAGAGGAAGCAAGATGAGAAACCTAGGGTGTCTGGTTTGATATTACTTGGAGGATGTGAGTTACTCACGCTACACATTATTTTCACAGAGCTTTATTTTCCATGTTGAAGAATAGCTGAGCTGACTGGTCAACCCTGCCCTGCCACATGTTAAGGAGAGCAATAGGTGGTTGTTTCTCACATTGGCATGTGATGCTTGATGGGAGAGAAAAAGCAATTCTCCAAGTGCTTTCCTTAAATTGCCCCATATTAAAATGGAAAGATCTGTAATAGCCACTGGTTTCATTACTGGAGGAATAGAGAGCTTGGTCACTGGGGCAGCACAACTGATGTCAGCATACTTTTTCTGAAAACTCAGGCTTGGAGGATAACAGTTTTTTAAAAATATATAGATAAACGTTATTAAAATTGTACACATAAACAT